GCCGTCAAGAACCTGGACAACATCAAGAAATGTTTTGCTCAGCTGAGCAAACTCCACTGTGACAAACTGCACGTGGACCCCGAGAACTTCAGGGTGAGCCGTGCTCGGGCTCCAGCCTTGGCTGGGCAGAGGGGTCTGTCCTGGAGTGGGGTCCTGGAGGGGTCTGACAGACAGTGGGACCAGAGAAACCCTGAGACTGCCCCAGCCTGGGAGTCTGCACAGGGCAGGGGTGATGAAAGGGGAGGAACAGTCACATTTGGGGAGAACAGAGTCAAGTTATGGGGCTGAGATCTGTGAGAGGAGGGACCCAGGCAGGGGAGGGGGGTGGAGACAAAAACAGACTCAAACACACTCCAGTGGGAAAAAACATCCCGGAGCAGCCACAGAGCAGAAGGGAAGAAGCTGAGACAGTTTGGAGGGAAGAGCTGAGCTTGGCTGTGATGCGGAGGTTAAACCAGGAGGGAAAATAAACACAGCCATTTCAGCGGGAGGGATCTGAGCCCAAGGACAGCCTGGGTGGGCAGGGATGGGAAAGGAAGGGACAAACCCAGTGGAAGCAGGGGGGGGACACTGCACAGCAGGCAAGGGGAGCTGTCTGGGGAGGACCCAGCACACCCAGGGATCCTGGTGCGTGCCAGAGACACAATCTGTGCCCCGGGGCTGGGATTTGTGACCAATTCTTCAGTAACTGGTGTCCCCACATGTGTGACAGTGGGGAGGGGGTGGAGGGCAGCACCTGGCTGACAGCTTCTCCTCCCTGCCCTGCCAGCTCCTGGGTGACATCCTCATCATCGTCCTGGCCTCCCACTTCGGCAAGGACTTCACCCCTGCCTGCCAGGCTGCCTGGCAGAAGATGGTCCGTGTGGTGGCCCACGCCCTGGCCCACGAGTACCACTGAGCCCCCCACCAGCATTCCTGCCTGGAGACACTCCTGGGGAATCCTCCTGGTCTCTAATTGCCAAATAAACACCAACTGCTCAGCCACGAGGTGTCTGGTTCTCTGTGGGAACAGGGAAGGGGCCGCACGGGGGCTGGGGAAGGGAGAGGGGAAGATCACACACATGGGGCAACAGGAGCCACGGTCTCATTCATGCAAGAGAGACTTGTCTAAGCTGGAGAATCCAGGGGAACATTCAGGACAAAACCCAAATAAACACCACAAAATACAAAGAGAAACACTGGTGCTTTTTGGAGACATCGGGTAACATTGTTTGGTTTAATTTTTTAAGCCTTTCACAGAGTAAGTGGAACAAAACTGAACAAAAATGTGCAGTGGGAGAAGGGACAGGGAGATTGGGTCCATTGTTTGTCACTTCCTTCATGTAAGGAAAAATGTGGGGCAGTGTTGGGTTTTTTGTTTGTCTGTCTGGTTGGGGTTTTTTGTTTTGTTATTTTTGTTGTGGTTTGGTTGGTTGGTTTTGGTTTGTGGGGTTTTTTTTACCTAAATCATTGTCATTCTCAGATTAGCAAGGGCAGAATGTAATAAACACAACTATCAAGGCCAGGTTGGACGGGGCTTGGAACAGCCTGGGCTGTGGAAGGTGTCCCTGCCCGTGTCAGGGGGTGGGATGGATGGGCTTTGAGGTCCCTTCCATCCCAAACCAGCCTGGGATTCCATGAAACACTGCACTGCTGAGTGTGGAGGGCTGGGGACAGTGTCATCCCCGGGTCCTTTGGCCAGGCCCCCTCTTGTGTTGAGCAGTCAGAGGAGAATTGGGGCCCTCATTAGACACGACAGCAGCTCATGTCCATGCAAACACTTTTCTCCACGGCCATCCAGGCCCCACGGGGACATTCCTGCACCCCACGAGCTCCATCCCCGTCCCCAGCACCGACATCCCACCCCACCACCCCCAGCTGGGAGCAGGAGCAGATCTGCAGCCCCGGGAGACCTGGCTGCCTCTCCCACCTCTCAGCAGGACCGCTGCTCCTCAGGCTGCCAAATCCCTGGGTCAGGCACCATCTCCTGCTGCACATCTGTGCAGATGTTTTTTCTCATGGAAAGGGTGTTCAGGCTGCCAGGGCCACGGGCAGGGGCTGCCCAGGGAGGTTTGGAGTGCCCAGCCCTGGAGGTGTCCCAGGAAGGCCTGGCCGT